GGATATGATACACAGCTCATAGTCCCTATCCTCCACCTGCACAAAATCCAGGCTGCACACCACAGACCTCTTGGTAATGTTGCAGGCATCCATCTGTCAAGTAGAACTTTTCTCAGAATTAGTGTCCTAGGCCAAATTAATCCCCAAGATAATTCCATTGTGTTTTGTCTAAGGAAATATCAATTACTGTGAATGGAAGGATGATCTCATGATGAAAGCAAATGAATGACTTGGAATCATGGCTGGGACCTTGGATAGATTCCTCTTCTGCTGTAGAGTTCTCATATGGTTTGGATAAACTGATACAAATGCCAGTTGCCTTGATTTCCACCTGTAATAAAATTAGGTTAATTCTAATTTACTTCCAGAGCCATTTTTTAAGAATCTGTATTTCTATGAAGCTGTATTTCTAGCTGTATTCTTGTTTTGATAAAAAAAAGTAAAAAAAAAAGCCCAACCTAACAAAATGAAACTAAAAAAAAAAAATCTAAAAACCAAAAACCAAAGCAGGCATATTGATATTTTTTATAAAGCATGAGAAAAACAGTAAGAGGATCATGTTCTGGGAGATGACAAATAGACATATCTGCATTTAGTAAGTTTATACTGTCAACTTACTCTGAACAAGAAAGATTAAAAACTCTTTTTGATCTCTCTTTAAGCTATCTCAAAGGACATGGTAGATAAATATGCAAAGCAGATTAGGATTAGTCTAGAATGAAGCAATATTAAGAAAATAATCCTTGAAAATTCAAGAGACTAAAAATTACCTTTTTCTCTGCCACTGAGATATGCTCACCTATGAGTCATACAAATGCTCCTGCATGTTATGTGCATATAAGAAACTTCCCTTGAACAATTTTTTTTTTTTTTTTTTTCCTCTGTAGAGAGAGTCTGCATAATTAGATTAAGTCAAGTTAAAAATGCATTGGTTTTCTCTCTCCCTTTCTCTGCACCTCTCTCTCTCTCCAGTTCTGTAGCAATACTCTAGCTCCACAGACTGATCTAAAGTAGGAACTGGTGCCTCCCAGAAATGTACATCCTTAAGAAATATATTCAGTTAAAATCTCTTCCAAGTACTGATGCAAGTCTTGTGTGTGCTTGTTTTTCCTGCATCTGTTTAATTTTTACTGTCATATCTACAATATTTCATACAGATTTCCATGAAATTTTACAGCTTTGGAGTCGCAAAATATTTTTACTTTGGCTGTCATTGCTGATACTATTATTGTCATAACCCTAGCAAAAACAAAAACAAAAATGAAACAAACAAAAAAACCCAAAACCCAAAAGCAATTTTGTAGAGAAAGCAGAAATACTGGTGTCTTTGAAGATTAACATGATCTTGTTAGCATGAAAGGAAAACAACAGCTTGGATCCTAGTCCACAGAATCCAACAACATTACCTCTAAGGATCAGTGACTAATTGTGAAAGCAGCACTTGGCTAAAGCATTCTCCTCTACTTCTCTTTCTCCACTTTTGATCAAATAAAATATTTTTTTCCTTCCTTAGATAACACCAGTTTATTCTTGACTGCATGAATATTTCAAAATGGATCAAAGTTTACATTTCTGAAGTTCATTAAGCTACATTTTTGGTTTTGTTTAGATTGTTCAAAATTAGGCACAGTATGTTATGATACTTCTTTGATGGTATCTGAGCATAAGAACTGGCAAAAAAATGAAAAATTCCACTTAATTATTCCTATAGTAACATTTAATATCCAGTTGCCTCATTCTAATCAAAACCCCTAGCAGCTCTCAAGGGGTTAGCCTTTATCTTCTCAGATGCTTTAAGGAAGTTGGCACAAATATTTTTTACAAGCTCTAGCAAATGAACCCAGTGTATAGAAATTGAGGTGTCTAATCTAATCTAATTTATTGAGGGGTCTGTACCACATGCATTACCCTGACATTTAAAGTCTCATAGTCAGTGACCAGTTAACCAAATCTGTCACTGTGACAGAAATGTATTTCTACATGCTGTGCCACAACTTGATCTTTCAGGCACCATTTAGGTGAAATCTCTTGTAGCACGGTGATTCAGAGTCCATAATGTCTTTAATGAAGAAATTTCCCAACTGGTATTAAAACAGATAACTTTGATTGTTGTATTTGCAATAAAGCAAAACAAAGTGAATTTGTCTACTAGGCTCTACACAGTAGATCAGCTGTTTGACTATGTAACTCTAGTTATCTTCAAAATTACTGTTGTTATTATGTGTTATTACAACCCTGCACCTCTCTTCCCTGGCACCACAGTCTGTGACTTTCTGGAGGTGAAGGCTGTTTTCAAAATATCTGCTTAATGACAGATCTGAACTTCTAAAATAGCTCTTCTGACACCTTGTGGTTCCTGTACATTACATTGTAAATCTGCTATCAGAATGTTGTCTGATATCTCTCAATGATACAGTAAAATATAATGTTGTTCATTACTACATGCATTTAATACTTTTAACTAACTCTGAGAAGGAATTATTTTATGATTCTTTTATGATTTCTATCCTCTTGTTTTCTTTTGTGGCATTGTTTAATCAGGGTCAATAGTTTTTATATTCAATTTTTCTCCAGGTTTCTGCACTGGCTCTTTCTGGCTTCTGCCCCTGCGTGGCCCAGTTTGTGGAGTTCTAGAGCTGACAAGTGAGGTGCTGCATGCACATATTGCCATCTGTATCTTTCTACAAAGTAGGCTATCTCCACTGGAAACAGCTCTTGCCATTGGGAGGAAACTTGCCCTTTGTTTCTACAAGAAATGTGTCTGCAAGACACAGACTTTGTGGATTCTTGTAGTGTAGATAAATCTACTTGGACAGTCTGTTTCCAGTCACCCTGGAGCACTGTGATGTCCTGGGGAACAAGCATTCTCTATACAGTCTACACATTTCATCCCACCCTTTCTTGACACTTGCTTTTATTAGACAGTGCCTGGCTTTGTTAAACTTTTTTTCCTGGAGGATCTATTTTGTTTCTAAAGCTTTTCTGCCAGACCTCATATTCCCAAGTCTGTAGTCCTACTCTTTGAAGAAAAAAATATATATGCTTTTGATGGATAACAAGAGGCTTCTGCCACTATGACTCAGCAGCAATTATACTGCTTTTTATGCAGAGTTTATTAGGATGTTCTACAGAAGGAGCTGTACAAACCTAGTGTGTGAATTCAGCAATTCCACTGCAGCAAGGAGGACTAAGTCATGATGTCTGGGATCTTGGCAGTAGGTCCAGAATCATATTGAGAATTGGTGTCTGAAAGGAAGGATCACAGGTCTTCTGATGAAGAGTACCAACTCTTTAAAATCTAGATTACTATGCTCAGTGCTTCAGGCTGAAAAGTTTAATGCCAGATCAATGTGATCTGCTAATGGGTTCAATAAGGCCCCTCAAGCTTTAATGTTCTGAAAAAAAATGCACCCTCCTTGCAATTACTGCCACTGATGGTGGTAACACATTCCCTGAATATAAGTAGAAGCAGCTGAGATGTTTGTGACACTTGGGGCAGACTTCCCAGGAGCGCTCTGAGCATTGCTTGAAAAGAGGTCTTAATGTACTTCTTATATTTTGAGGTTGCAAAGAACAGCATTAAATAATCACATAGGGGAGAAAGAAAACTAATTAAAAGTTCCCCAATGAACAGACTCCCATTCTTCTGGGACAGCATTATGTGTCACTTGATGGAAATCATGCAGAAATAGTTATATAAAAGGACTGGCTAGCAACAAAAGGAGACAGTGTTTTAAAATTTTTCCATAAAAAAGAAAAAATCAGCTGGATGGACCCAAATCCTTTCCATAACTTCATGCCTCTGTATCTCATGAATTCTGGAAGCTGGTTTCAGTGCATTATTTTCCACAGCTGGCTTTCCTTTCCAGTGTATTTATCTGTTCTACTCAAAGGGTGCATCTCTGGCTATACCCACCCCTCCTCTCGTGGGAAGCAGTTGCGGGGCTGTCCTGAGGGAGCACCAGCTTGCAGCACTCCTTGCCTTGGAGCGTGTTTGTTTCCGACCCTCTCCGCCAAGTTTAAGTGTGAGCTTAACTGTGAGCTAAGCTAAGCGCTCCCTATGGATGCTCACACTGATAGACTGCTGTGGGCAAGTGTGGAGCCCCTGCTCTAGCATCCCATCCCCAATACAGCTATAGCCTTTCTCTTTGCTAGTAACCTGACCTATTTAGCACGGCTGAGTAGAAAGAAAAAACGAGGGAAAAAGAGAAACAGGAAAACAAGGAAAATAAAGACGGGAAATGGAAGAAGAGAAAAGGGGAACAGAGGAAACGGGAAAAAAGTCAAAGACAAAACCAGAATGGACCAGGAAAACGGCAAAGGGGGAAGGAAAACAAGCGCTGATTGCGCCCAGCTGGCAGCGAGACGCGGCCCGGCCGCGGCCCGCCCGCCCCCTCAGCCCGAGCGGGCGCGGGGCCGGCTCCGCCGCCGGCGCGCGGGGCGGGGCGGGGCGGGCGCGGAGGGCGGCGCGGGGCGGGCCCGCGCGCAGGCGCGGTGGGAGCCCGGGGCGCCCCACGCGGGCGCTCCCAGAGCCTCGGCGGCGGCGCCCGGCTCGGCAGCGAGGGGGGCGCGGGCGGAGAACGGAGCTGCGGCAGCGCCGGGGCGCCGCGGGAGGAAGGCGGGAGCCGGAGCCGCGCCCCGCTCCGCTCAGCCCCGCTCCGCTGTCGCCGCCGATCGCCCCGCTGCCATGGGGTAGGGGCGGCGGAGCGGGGGACGCCGTCAGGCTGTGGCCGCCGGCGGAGCGCGGAGCGGCGCCCCGCGGTGCCGGGGGGCGCGGAACGCGGGAGGCAGGGGCGGCGGGGCTGGCGCGGGAGGCCGGGCAGGGCAGGAGGCTGCCCCGGTGCGAGAGGCGGCGGCGGTGGCAGGCGGAGAGATGATCGCGGAGTTGTTGAGCAGCGCCCTGGGGCTCGCCCTGTACCTCAACACCCTGAGCGCCGACTTCTGCTACGATGACAGGTAGGGCGGGGAGCGGCGGGGCTGGGCGGGCAGGGGTTGCTCACCTGTCGGGAGCGGAGCTTCGGCCTCCCCCGTCCTGCTGCCCGGGGCGGCGCCGGAGGGTGCCGGGGCTTTGGCGGCTCGGACTCGGTCCTCTCCAGCCCCACGGAGCGGGAAGGGACTCGCCCATCCAAGTTGGCATGTCCTGGGCTGGGCTGGTCCCTTATGCGCGGTGTCAGCGGCGTGCCCGGCCGCCTCCCGTCCCGTTGCCCCGCTCCCCGGCACCGAGCGCCCGCGGGAAGTTGCCGTGCGCTGCCGGGCTGCGCTGGGCGGCCGCCGGGCTGGAGACCAGGCTGCCCACCTGCTCCTCTCCTGGCCGTACCTGCCCGCCGGAGCTGCGGAAAGGCGCTGTTCTTAGTCGGGCGAAATTCCGATTTGTGCTTTTTCCGGTGACTTAATCTGATCGCATTTAAAACAGATGCATAATTATAATGTATTATTAGGGAGAGCAGCACGCCTGGCTAAACTTATTAACCGTCCTGGGGTGATTTATGCTCCATTGGAATTAAACCATCCAAAAAGTGAGCCGGGATTGACTTTGACAGCGTTTCGTCAGCCTCTCTCCTCCGTGGGCAGCGACCGTCTGCCCCGGGGGCGGGTGAGCGGGGGGCTCCGCCGGGCTCGTCCCATCCCGGCAGCGCGGCTGGGATCCTGCGGGAGCGGCCACGCGTGCGGGGCAGGGAGCGAGGAGTGCCCCGGGTGGGTGTGTGAGCGGAGGGTCTTACGGCATGGCTCAGGTTCGCGGTGCCAGCGAACTCCCTGAGCAGCTGTCAGGCGGGGCTGGTGCCTTTGGTGTGAGAGGAGGGAAGGGGAAGAAGCACGGCGAGGTGGGGTGAGGGATGTGCCTGATCAGGATGATGTTTGCTGCACAGTTGAACTTTCCGGCGCGCTGATGGGATTCGAAAGGGTCAAATGCGTCTTTGATTAGGCATTTGCCTTGGAAAATAACCTGCCTGTCCTGCAGTAATTAGTTACTAAACTTGGAATTTTCCTCCCTTAAGCGGTATTACAGTGCACCTGCCGTGTTGAAGATCTGTCACCGCTTCCAGAATACTCCCCGCTGTTTTCAAGGCTTGCTACTATTAAACCTATTATACTGGAAGCAAATGCCAAGTGTTAGTCCTGGTATAGGTCCCTGGCTGGGAGCAGAGTTGGCTGCAGAATGTGGCAATTCAGGCTTCAGCCTTCCAGGTCATTTACATGTACTTGAAGCCTTGCGAGCAATTAAGTGGTTTTAGGTTTCTGTGAGTCTTCCAATTTTCTAAGTGATTTTTCTTAAACCTATTTGAAAGTTTTGAAGCTTCATTCATAAACAATAAAAGAGAAAAGTCTGCTGTTGCCCTGAAATGTGAGGTCTGAATTGGATCAATGGAAAATAGTGAATATTTTGATACAGTGACGCTATTTTAAGCCTGCTTATTATAGTTAAAAACTGCAGGAGTTGTGGAATATTTACATAATCCTACATAGCATATATTGCAATGTTTGGGCAAAAACTGGGTTGTTTAAGCACAAGGTTAAAAGCCTGTCCTGCAGGCTAGTTCAAATGGACTAGGCATGGAAAGCAGTATGAAGTACTTTCTGTTGATGTGGAGGTCAAGATTACTTCTGATCTTGCCTGAGTGTGCTTTAATGCAGTTAGAAAAAAGTATTTGAGTGTCATCTCTGAAAGTGTGGAAAAGATAATCACACACAGATTTTGCTAGTACTAATCTCACACTGTTTAAAAGGTGTTTGAAAGACTGCTTTATTCATGTGCTTACCTATTAACTAAATAAAGTACTTCTCATCATTGTAGCTAAGATTTAGGCTTTGACTAGAGTGCTCTGAAAGCCAGTTAATGGCATATCAGTATGTGGGGTCATCTAATTAGGCTGTTTTTCAATGGCAACACTGGAAGGAACAAGGCAGAAGGGGCTGTTTTATGTTAGTAATTGTTGAACTAGAAAGGTTTATCTCTTCAAAGAGGTAGGCTCAGACCCAAACTATTCTTTTAACTGTAATCACAGAATCTTGCTGCCCTTCAGGAGCTGGCTTGAAATGTAACAGTAGAAAAGGAGGTTGATGCTGGAGCTGCAGGACACAGCCCTCCATGTAGGAGATGGATTGTGCTACTAACTTGAACTGAACCAAAATTATGCATTTAAGCTGGGAACCAGCAATGTCTTGTTTCAGGAGGGCAGCATATTGCCTTGGTTTTTATTCTACTTCCTTTGCTATTATATTGAAATTACATCAACTGTTGTCTTTTTAATATAGTGATCAAACTTACTACATAAAGGGTGTCTGTAATTGCTTTCTATATTTTTTATGTAGGTTGGGCAAGATTAAGTGGCATCATAAAACTTCTCATAGCAAAATCAATTTTCCAATGGTAAGATGTAATATTTTAGCAGCAGCACGGCACCAAACTAAAGGCTCTGGACAGTGATATAACAAACTTGATTGTAGTCTGGGCTTTGACTCTTTACCAAAGGATTCAGTATTTTGTTTCCCACCCTTTACCCATTTGAAGTGGAATAGCATGAATTTTAAGCCTGAGGAAGCTGAGTGAGCAAACGTACATGTTCTTACTTTTTGTCATTAACTCATTTCTTTCAGGCTAAGCAGGTATATTGCACATAATATTTTTAAGCAGTTGACTTACTGATTACTATGAATGAAAGTGTCACTTGTCAGTTTCTAGTTAGTTTCAAAACACAAGAGCCAGTGTTGTTGGATTTTTTTTTTTTGTTCTGTAGATGTAGACCTAGAAAACAAAAGCTTTTGCCACCCTTGTTCCTGCCACTGTAATTTTTACAGACAGCTGTGATATTTCCTAGTTATGTGTGTAGATTATTACTGAGAGTTTCACCTCCCCAGCTCAAACCTCTTTGTTCAGCTAGGAGCAAACAGACATATTTTCCCCCTCTTTTTACTTATTTATTTGAAGATGTATGTGATATGTAATAACTTAAAACAAGAGATGAATGAAGGGGGGGGGGGTATTTGATGCCAAAGTAGCTCATATTGCTTGTTAATAAACATGATTTATTGTTAAGCAAAATCATCTTGAAACTGGTAACATGGTAGAGAGAAATGCAATTTCCATTCCTGCAGATGTGTTGAAGATACTGCTTGTTGCACTGTGTTAAATCCAGTTTCTTGCCAGATTAAGTAGGGGCTAGTCTCTTCACACACAGTTAGTGTTTCGTGCTAGTATCTACCAATATTACAGGAGGGAGACCCATTGCTATGCTACAATTATGTTTACACATAGACATGACCATTTTTGCCTACCATTTAAGCCCCACCAGCCCACCTGGCAATTTGACCTGCAGGTGCCTTACACTGAAGCTGTCATCCTTCATGTGGCATGTGCTGACTAAGACAGGGCACTGTCAGTTTATAGCTGGGGAGGGGAAGATTAGTGCTCTGCGTGTCTGAGGTCATGCATTGTTATGGTGGACATGGCAAAAGGAGCTCATCTGTTGAGGTGGTCCTTCTAAATCTCAAAAGAAAGGCATATTTTAGGGAGAGTATGGTAGAAAGCTTTAACCTTGAGTGATGTATTGTCTCAGTGACATTGTCAAAATCAGTGTTCTGGAAAATGTGTACAGATTTGTCTCTGTCTGTGTAGGGCTCTTCCATGAAATTTGGTAGCACAGACCAGATTTCTCTAGCTTACACTGCATTTTATGTAGCAGGCCTGTTTGGGGCAGCCTTGCTGGTAGTAGAAAATATTCATTAGCCCTGTTTCAAAGTCGCTGAGCAATATTCCAGACTGTGTTGACTGTTAAATGTTTTCACCCTGTAGTGTCAGACTTGCATCATTTTAAAACAGGCTGAGCCCATACACATTTGACAGGACCTCTGTTGGGTCTGCCACATGAGATTTAATCTAGCAAGTGACCCAAATACGTGCACTAGAAGAACAAGTGTAAGTGCACTGGGGAAAATTACTTGCCATCTGTTTCCCTGTTGTGTGTGTATATATTTGATTATTAGTTTACATTTGTGATTTTTATGGCCCTTTTTTGTCATCTTCTCAATTTTTCAGCTCCACGTACACCTTTCCAGTAGCTTTTAGTAGCTCCGTTTTGCAGGTAGCTGCAATCTTCTGAATTCCAGGAGTGAGGTTGGTGATGGGGAGACAGGGACTGGTGTGCTTTCTCTATAGTGTTTTCCCTTTGTCCCCTCTGTTCCATTTTCTGCATGCTAATTTTGAAACCACCATAAAGATAATTTTTATTTGAAACAGGAGTTTTAACATATTCATAAAGGAGTAAAGGTAACTTGGAGAAGATGCTTGAGTAACTTAGGCTGTGTAGTAAAGGTTTGTAGTTGAGTTTGTGTTGTAGCTGAACATTAACCAAGTGAACTGGTAACTGATTGCCTAATTGGATGAACCTGGCACAATCATAGTCTATTAATACCAGTTCTTTTTTAAATGCTGAACATAATCTAAATACGTATTCAGCTTTTGATTTAAAAATGGTTTCTGCATAAAAAATTATGTTGAATAAAACACTTTGATCCAAATGTGAAATCTTAGTTTCATCAAAATATTGGTGGGTGGTTTGTTTTGGTTTTTGGGGTTTTTTTTTCCATTTGAGATGCTGTAGTGTAGAGATTTTAGAAAGCAAAAAAGAAATTATGTCCCCACTGGCTTTATTTTAAGATTCTTGTTGCATATGTAACAGTAACATAAAGCATGTCACCTCTGGTAGCTGGTTCAGAGAATAAATTAATGCCTGTTAGCAGACAGAGAGTCTCCCCGAGTCGCTGATGTGATGTGCCTCATCTGCAGGAAGTTCTTCCAGCACACAATGGAGTTACAAATTCAAATGATCAACTTTCTCCAACATCTCCCATATGTATTCCAGCTGCACTTCTGAATCCTTTAAGTTTGCCAGAGCGAAAGTCGTTGAAAGGCTCAGAAGTATCTCATCTCAATTTGTTAACCATCTGATAGCTGCAAGAGTGATGAATTAGAGCTCCTTTGCTTCCCTCATCTGGAAGTTTGCCCTTCCCTTGTTTGCTGCTAT